CAGACTGTGATCAAAATTCCTAACACAAGGGTGAAGGGGGTGAGAACGCCAGCGTTAAGTGTGAATTCTTTTCATGAATGCCGCCCGAAGGAGCACACCACACTACATTGAAATGAGCACATTTAAAAAACTGTAACAGTGAAGGCATGATAGGAGGATATACGAAATGGGAATAGCCCATGGCAGAAGGGGAGATACCAAAAATGGTTAGCACACGTTTGGTCAAAGGATGGGCTTCACTTGTCTCTTTGACGGGTTGTTGTGTGAATGGCGAGACTCGCTGACGAGGCCGACTACAATGCCGGCGAAAATTCTGGGAATGTACCACGTCCACGGTCCGACTTTGGAAATAATCATGCACACAATGGACTCCGGACTAAGTGCGTTCCTTTAAGTCTTCCTACCAATGTGACTTCTATACTACGAAAGGAGACTGCAACAACAAAAAAGACCACACCATCTTGGTCTTCATACCTTCGACTAGTTATTAAAGTTTTTTGCCAGATAGTTGAAGATGGTTGTTATGACGTAGTGATGGTTATGCGTCTCAAATCACAACTCCATGTGGAGATACATTTACAGACCTTAATAACAATTTTTTCCTTTCTTCATATGCCTGCTGTGGAGACTTTCATATTGTATGAAAGTACATGAAGGAGAGATTCGAAGGTTGATCTAATCAAAAAGGGACGGCTAATTCCCGTTATACTTCAACTCTTTGGCTTTAATAGAATGTTCAGATTGACGCAGTCCAAGAGACTTTTTCTCTCGTTTCGTGTGAAAACGGGCTGAGCTTTCGTCCATCATTTAATGTATACGTCGAATGTGATGAACGGTGGTAAGAAGTAGAGTAAAAACTACTTATTTTTTATTAATACACTAAAGGAGCGAGGATATTCAGCCACCATCCAAAAGAAGGCGACTCAGCATTTCAGTTCAGCAGGAGTACGAGGTTACGCAAATTCAGTCAGGTTCTTCCTTGGGTTCTTAAACTCTAATGACTGTAAACTGAGAGGTCAGGATAGGTGGTTTCGTAACCTGATTTACACATGTACAAGCTTACATCCCATTATGTCAAACAGATCTGCTTAAGGAGATATGAAAAAACTGGATTTCGAGGGATTCCTTGGTGATATATTGCGACATGACTTTCCATTTCGAAGGAAAAGTTGCTTGGAACGAATTCTGGATGGGGTCTCGCCGGAAAGCAATGGAGGATTGCCCCGTAGGTAAGACTGCTGTACTGTGCAAGCAAGTCCTCGGCTCACCGTCCTGCGACTCCGATGAAATTCCGCTAAACTTTCGTCTGTACCACCGTGACAGACATCATCAGAGCAAGATTGTATACTTTACGAAAGAGACCAAATATATACTTAACCAATAGAAAAGGTGTCCGGCGGCAACCCTAGTCGCTTTTTTATACGCCTGACATCGCGATCTAAATGAGGCATCCGATGTTCTAGTTGGCTATCTCAACCTTACTCTACATGCTTGCAAATGAGTGAAGTCACTTCCCGAACCGGAAGTGGGTCCGGTGACAGCTGTTCCCTTAAACAAATAATTTTGAATCATGTTTGCATTTGTGCTATTGTCTATTGTGCGTATGTAATGTTTATGTCATGAGAAGTGTGATAGCCCTAGCTAGACACGGGGCTAATCCATCCTCCTCCTTGAATGATCTACCGAGGAAGTTTAACATAAAAGCAATGTATAAAGAGCAATCGACACTTTCTTCAGTAGTCCGTTCGTTGACAGAATTTTGAGATCATCTTTTAAGATCAGGCTGCTACAAGATTTTGTGCTGATATTGTAAGGTCTATATGGGGAAGTCCTACCGACCCATCCAGAAGCGGCTATGCGAACACAAAACTGCTTGTAAATGTCTATGGATCCGAAAATCTGAGGTAGCTGAACACAATTTGCCAATACAGGACACTCAATAGACTGGTCCAAAACACAACGTTTTGCGGCCTAAGATTAGGAAGTCTACAGAAATTAACAAAACAGCCAACGTTTTGAATGGGAGGAGCGAATGTAAAAAACGGAGTAGGAAGTATTAGGGCCTGTTGGATAGGCTTAAAGAAAGGGAGTGCAGGAAGAACTACTGAACAAGAGTAGTCTAGATTCGCCCCGAGTCTAGCTTCGACTTCCCATGACACGAATATTAAATGCGAAGAAAAGTTGTGTTTCGAGGAATCTATTGTTGCATAATTGTTGAGCTTACTTCCATTTCAAGTGAAAGTGTTTGGTGAAGAGATTCGAAGGTAGGTTCCACCAGAAGACCGACCTTCGAATCTCTTCACTCAACAATTTCACTCGAAATGGAAGTACGAACATTAAATACGCATAAAAGACAATAGCACAAGCCCATACATAAATCAACACTTGAGGATTATATATTAGTTTATATGTGAAAGAAAAATGCTGTCATTGAGCACACTTCCAGTTCGGGAAGTAACTTGACTCCAACGAAAACATTAAGATCGTAAGCTATAAAAAAATGACATCTTTTCTCTCGATTTAGTCTATTTTTCCTCAATTTCGTAAAGTATGGATTCTTGCTCTGATGATGTCTGCCACGGCGGTACAGGCGAGAGCTTGGCACAGTATCATCGGGGTTTCAGGACTGTAAGCCTAGGACTTGTTGGTACAATTCAACAGTCTTCCTTGCGCGACAATCCTCCTTCGATCTTCGGTGAGACTACATCACGAATTCCTCCCAATTAACTTTTCCTTCGTAATGGAAAGTCATGTCGCATTATTTGCTTACGGGCCCACACAGTCTCGGACAAGGCTTTTTCTTGGGCCATTAAGCCTTGATGGCCAAAGCCCCGCATTAGCCATTTTTTATCACTCTGCTTTAGGATCGGTATTGCATATAGATGTAAACATACACAAACACACATACTTGTGCCGGATAATCTTCTTGAGCTAGTGTTAACGTGA